TCCAAAAAATAATTTCAAACGAAAAGTAAAAAGAAAAAAAAAAAGAAAAAAAAAGGATAAATACATTCGGTGATTTATGATGATCTTGAAGACCTTGAGTGGAACTGTACAGTAGCACGAGCGCGTGCACACGGACAAACAACAATACTGTACGTCCAAAAAGAAGAAAACAAATACCGGACAGGAAATTGATAGAAAGGAAAAAGGACTGAATCTCTTATTGCTCCTGAGGCTATAATGATAAGCAGTCTTGTGGCAAGGCTCGGTCGAGTCTGCTCCTAACACGAGTGGTGTGTCTTGTTATGGCCAGAGGTGAAAGCACCCTTCTGGAGGTGCTGCTTTATACTAAGCACGAACGCTTTTGACGGTCCAGGCTTCCTCGAAAAGACATAACGTAGAAAAAACAAGCTGCTTGCACCATTGTGAACACAAGTAACGCACTAGCCAGGAATTTCGGATTAAAAGGTTGGCACAATAAAGCTAGAAGGCATCTCTGACTCTGTAATGGTGCCATAGATGGTGCCCTTTAGCGGAGCTGGGCACTAGCCCTTGAGCGGGTTGTACTCCCGGATACTATTGTGCCTGGAGCGCGCCTCCGACTGGTGTATTTAGCGTCCTTTCCTTCCCGTAACATCAAAAGCGTTCCCGAAGTAGCCCCAAATGACATCACTGAAGCTGGAGTGTCCTGCTGTCGAATGTCGCGATCCTGGGGGTTGGTCGTAGACCTGCGGCGAAAAGCACGAGCGAACGCGAGTGTCGCTGTCGTCGCGGCGTCCCAACTTCTGGCTGCCGCAGCTTCCGTGGACTGTCACACCAGAGAGCGACCTGCAGAAGAACAGGCGTCTGCCACATCCACCACCGCTGCTGGGACACCGCCAGGATCGCGACCGGCGGCAGCATGACACTTGTGTGACGACATCAGGCGGAAATCGAGGGACCAAACACGGAAACCGTACCATGACACCATACGGGTATTGAGAACAGACTTGATATGATCGTTACTGGTCAGGCTGTACAGTCCAAGGCCGGATTAGTTGAAACTTGGAAGCAATATAAGCACAATTAAGAGAAAAAAAGGAGTTTCAGAAATGTGGAATTAGAATGTTTTGATTTTAATCGCAAAAAAAAAAAAAAAAGGGATTGGGAAGATCCTACAAAATGCATATTTCTTCGTGGATCATTATTTGACCAGGGGATACAAAGAAGGGAAAACGTTTGTACGCCGGCTGCCTGTAGTTCTCTGCAAATAAAATTATTAGCAGAAATAAACTATTGTTTTATAGCGAAAAAAATTTAAATGTAATGGCATTACTTTTTTAAAGTAATTTTAATTGTAATTAAAATCTTTTCCGGCATGGTAATTTGTATTGAAAGTTCATTTCATTGTAGCGGTTCCAGGCAAATTAATTAGTAACGTTATTGAATTGCAAAATGAAATTAATTTGACCAGCTGTCACTAAACGGTACTGAGTATACATTCTTAATTTTTGCATGTTTATGCATTGCCTACTATCAGCTATGTATGCTTTATTTGCCTCGAGCTGCCTGCAAAAAATTTTTGTTACGCTCGAGCGATTTTTTTTTATCCAGCTATTTAACGGGTATTTTGCGTTAAACGAAAAACAAATTGAAAGGTAAGCGAGGCACACATAACTTGTTGTATGCGAGCTTGATGGCTCACAAGCAGCAATGGCCACGCGGTTCAAATAAAAGGAACAAAAAGGCTCGAGGTACACGTAAGCACTTCTTATGAGTTGTGAATGCGAAAGCATGCAAGCCGCTCGTCCGCTCCCTTCGTTGTCTGCTCGTCCGCTCCCTTTGTCGTCTGCTGCGTACCAGCGCGTGCTCGCTTCGGGATCTCGGAGGCCATGGCGCAGCGGCCGATGGGAGCCCCGTCGACGCGCGCCAGCCAATGGAACCGAAGGCGAATCGCTCCTATTGGGATCGGGGAAACCAGGAGCCGTTTTTGCGCTTCAAACTGATGACGTCAGCTCGCTCCATGAAACAGTTAATGATTAAAAAATGGAAAAAATTACATAAACAAGGTATACACGGCCGATTCCTTTCTCTTCCCTCGGATGAAACAATGCCCGAAAGGAGATTATCTGAAACGGTGCAAGGAGTGCGAGCGGCTTCGATGCAGTGACTGAAGAAGATTTCGTGTGTAGATGTCCACGTACTTATGGCATAGCCTCCTTTGCTCTGTAGGAGTCTATAACAATGCGTGGCAGAAGCGCTGGCAACGGCGTGTTTAGGCATGCTGATGTTATTTTGAGGAATTTCAACTCCTTTTACGTACATCTACAATACATTTTTTTTATGAATGTAGTCCCGATAGTTTTGGGGTCAGACTCTGTAAATCTTCCTAACTTCTTTTTTTTTTTATTATTATTTCAGTGCAAAACAAATGAACATAGGAAGCATCAAGCGATAGGCAAACATTAAGTAAACTCTATTTTCGGGGTCATTCTTACGGGAAAGGTCCGATTTACATTAATATAGTAAAACTGTTCTTATTGAAATCACGATTTAAATCATGATTTAAATGAAGATTTAAATCATCGCGATTTTATTCTTCAATCCAGATAATAAGCGAACAACATTCGAGTGATATTGCTACTTGGCATCGGCTTCTGGACAGTTGAATTTCTGCAAAAGGAATGAAAACTAGGCAATTTTAGAAGAATCTCCCGCAAGTACTGGAAGGCGGAAGACAGGCGTCGGTGCGAAATAGAACGACACGAACAATAAAAGTCCCGTTTATTTTCGAGCGAGCCAACTCGTTCTACGAGTCCTCAAGACCTGCATGCAAGCCGCTTTCGACAAATCGTACACGACCCTGGGGTGAGGTAGCAACCAAACTCTAGATATCACTCTCTTCTCCATCGAGTTGGTCCGAAACAAAAGAAAAGCATCCCGCTGTCGCGTTAGATTACAAGACAGCTTCTACCACCTCAAAACCATAATTTCAGCGCGAACTTAGAGTTTCTTCATCGAAACTCGTGCCTATGAAGCACCATCGAAGTCGGCTCGATTATCTTCGAGATTATGTAACTTATGTGCATCAATTCCAAGACGCGTCCTTCGGTTCACCCCGAACCATCTGCGAACGCATAAATACGTAGATGCCTCACCGAAGCAATGATATCTCAAAACTTTTCAGAATAGTTCTTTCAACCTCTGTAACGCGTTTTCTACGAGGTACGCACCAAGTAACCTGTCACAAAAAAGAAAAAAAAAAAAAAAAGGAGCAACAAAAACTATCGTAGTTGCCACCAGCTTTCCGTCGTCTTTCGAGATGACCTTCCTCTGGGAGCAGTCAGCAGAAAAGCGCGGCGTTCGTTAGCTTCTCCCCCTGTATTCTTGAGAGTTGTTTTTGCATTTGTCACCAAGTCGAGTTTGAATTTTTTTTCCTTGTACGGATGTCTATCCATCAGAGATGGCGAAAGCACCTTGGAGAGGCGCTGCTAAGAGGAAATTTGGCCAGTGGAGTACGCAAGTGTTACATTGGGAGCTTTCGGTCTGCATCGCGTAGGAGTGAAGAAGATTGACACCAGCACAACGCCTGTCTTCGTCGAAACAGGCAGAAACTAGGTTTCAACTTGGGCTCCTTGTTTACACTCAGTTTGAACTTTTGCGATACGTGACATTGAGCGCACTGAGCCGCGAAGTTGTAGCTGCAACTTTCGTTTTAGAAACCGCCGTTAAGATCTCGGTCTCAGTACCTAATCAAACGCCCAGGCGGTTTTCTTTCTTTTTTCTTTGTGATACAGAAGCATAATTGATACCGTATCACCCTTGAAACGACGTAAAGTGTTTGCCCTTGTCTCTTTCCCCAGGAAAATCAAATAGTTCCCATTTTCATCTCTCTTTACCTTCTTGGATTGTATGGGTTGCTTCACATTGTACCTAATCACGCTCACGTATTCTCCCCTCCCGCCTCAGTGATCATTGTATAGGACGTGTCGTTTTTGATAGACATGCGTTGTTTTGAACAAGATAAGTGGGCGATGGAATTTCCTAAGTCACACCTTTCTACCTTTTGCACCTTTACCTGCTACAGTATGTGTCTGAATACACAATATGAATCAACATAATTAACCCAACGCAGAAAAAAAAAACGTCGATATTTATTTAGTTTTGTTAGTCCTATGAACGTTTCCATCGACTCAAAATCCCTAAATTCATCTCTAAGTTATGGAAAAGGTGATCTGAGAGCGGGTTTTCTGTATTTAAAAAAGAAAGAGAAAACAATGTTAAGGATATAAAGATAACGTCCGCCCCTCTGCTCCACCCTTTAGATATGGTTGAATATAGATACATATATGCATTGAAGCTTAAGTTTTCAACGAGAAATAAGAAATATGGCGAATGTTTTTGTTCATTTAGCTTGTATATGCAGAAAACACGTAATAACGCAATTTAGAACATTTACTTATGTAAAAGAGGAATAAGATATGATAAATCCGGACCTTCATAATTGTTCCATAATTGTAACACACTCGAACCTATGTATATCAAAAGAAGATTTGTTGTTATCATTTTTTCTTATGCGAACGTAATATACTATGAAAATCAAAGTGTTTGCATTTTTGTGGGTGTATAGTCTCACAAGTGTTATATAGTTATTTGTTTGGATTAATTGCGATGTATACTTTTAAATTAATTTTTGGTCGATGCAGAGTCTCTGTGCGCAATGTAGTGTATTGTCTGCCTCCTTAAATTTCAATCGTATAATTCATTTGGGGGAGAGGGCCCGTCTAGATGTTCCTTTCCAGTTTTTGTTTTATTTTAAAATTTTTTTTTTTTTTTTTTAATATTTAGATTGAAAATACTTTTTGCTCCATACCCTGACTCGAACGGTACGCGTAGCGCGACGCGTAACACCGGGCGTTTTTCTTTACCGGTTACGCTATTTCAGTTCCGGCGTTCCCTACCCCCGGACTGTTACAATAGACCTTCCCGAGAGGAGGAAGCCGAGAGAGAGAAGCAAAACGGAAGAGGGCGAGGAGGAGGCGGGAGAGGAGGGAGGAGAGGGGGTTCGGCGTCCCGGCCAGCGAACGTCGAAGCCGGGCACATCGCCACTGACGGCGCCGAGCGCATGAGTGGCGGCACGCACAGGTGGATTACCCCGGGGCCGCTTCCGCGTTCGCAGTGTCGTCGTCCAGGGCGCTTCCGCATCGTCGCGTCCGCCTCGGGAGGCTCCCCCGTCACCCACGTTTCGAGCCGGAGTCGGCCCGCAAGACCGGGATAGCAGTGATCGTGCCTCGCGTGGTGAATAATTCTTCGGCGACGACGGTACTGGCGCCGGGCGTCCTTCTACCAAACTTCTCACCCACCCGGGCTCGACGCATGTGCCGGATTGCATCGGCGGCGCGTTGGACTGCCTCGTGCTACTCGGAGCGCGCAGACATCCACCGTGGCGCGGGCCCCGGGCCATGAAACCACGTGATCGAGCGGTGTGTTTGTAAATACCCTCCTTCCCCCTCTTCCTCCGGCCGCATCCCTTCTTGTTTGCCAGCGTCGGTGATCGTCGGCGAGTGCGGTGTTGGTTGGCGGCCCGTGGGTGCCGGGTGTACTGGTGTCCGCGTCTGCCCGGGCCGGGGGGTTGTGGGGGTCCATGCGGCTGGGTTCGGGACGGCAGCAGGGCCGCGATCCGGATTGCACGAGTGGCAGCGACAGTGCAGCGACCAGTGTCCCCACCGGCGGCATCTGACGACAGCCCCTGCGAGCCGCCTGCTGAAGCGACCACTGTCAAATGTCTTGGAGTAACAGTTACACTAAAGTGGAGGTGGTTCAGCCCCAGACGTCCTCAGGCTCCATCAAAGGTGAGCTGCCGCCGTTGCGATGACGGCTTCGTGCGTTATTGTCGCTGTGATCATGTCCCGTTGGAAGTGCTTTGGTTTCCGGTCAACAGCCCCGGATTACATTGCTCTTTTTGGCCCTTCCTTCCTGTCCGCACGTTCCCCGAATTTGTACTTGGAGTGAGATCGCAGAAGTTTGCTGACTCGCAACGCGTCGTTTCGTACCGACTGTCACGGCTGCAAAGGTGTTCCGCTTCTTCCATGGAACGTTTCTTTTTTGCGGTTCTTCGTCGTCTTTGGCTGTCGCGTGTCTCTCCGCCGCCGATTCCTTCGACGGTTCGAGATCTGCACCGGCCTCTCGAGGGGGGCTTTCCTGTGGCTGTGCGTGACAGCCGAGTCTCTCGTCCACGGAACGCGCTTTCCTTACGTAACACCCGTTATCTCGACGCTGAGTCGTACCGCGTCGCACGCCGTAAAGCGCCTCCGTGTTTCCTCGCCATGTTGCAAAATTTTGGCGACCGGGTTTTTATTTTGTTTAGAATTTTTTTTCCTTCTTCGTCAATGCATTCGATTTATCTCTCGAAGCCGTCGGGAATTTCTGGCTTTCTACGCGGAGCAGAAACCGCCCTGTGTGTGCAGGCAGTCTGCCAACCGGCAGCGTCCGACTCTATAAATATGGTCTCTCTCTCTCTCCCCCCCCTATATATATTTTTTTTCTTTCCTACCTTTCAACCTCCCCGTTTCGTGCTCCGTTCATTTGATCAAACCGTGGCATGGACGATGCGAAGTCTTCGCATCGCCCTCTCCAACCGGGGTCCCACTCCTATTACGTGTCACACCAAAGACATTCTGCACACTCTGTCTGAGGCTTCCTCGGTCCTGTCACGTGGTCATGCCAAACCTGTCTGCAGACATGTTTTAAGCGTTCCATGCGTGTGAAGCGGAGATGTTTCACGCTTGCTTGAAGCAGGCACACAGATAATTCGTTCGGCATCCCATACACACACAGATATATATATATATATATATATATATATATATATATATTGCTGGACATTTGCAATGAGCTTTTGGCTCGACGTAATGACACCGTTTCCCGTCGTATTCGTTACTTATGTGACGTTTCGTCCTTTTATGTTTCTCGAGGTTATTGAGTTATCCATTAGCACGTTCACAATCGTCGGCAAGGGCTGATCCCTAGCGAGTAGAAGATGCGTAATATATCGCCGCGCGGGCTCTTCTTTCTGTTCGAGTCACAGCTTTCATTCAATCCTACACTGGAGCGCACGAGATCCTCCCGGATTTCTCGCGGCACGTCGGCTAAAACGCACGACTGTGTTAGCGCGTTTCCCTTGCGCTCTTTTTTTAAGATATTCCCTGAGTGGTCTCACTTTTTTGTTCTCTTATCATACAGAGCACAGAGCCTATCTTCCAGTCAAGCCCAGCGCTGTCCAAGTGAATCAGCTCCTCTCTTCCCTAGTGCTTTAGGAACAAAACATAAGAGGCGTGGACTCTTTTTTTTTCTTTTCTCATATTCTTTATCTTTCGCTGATTCCTATCGCAAAACAGTCATCGACGAGATTTTTTTTTTAAATTGTGTTTTGTTCTTTGGTATTTTTTTATGAATCACAGTGGAAGTGCGCGCTCTGTGTATATTTAGGACAACGAATAAAAGTAGAAAAAAATATTTTAGTGTCGTAAACGTCATAAAATAAAATAAAAAAGCTCCGTTTGTAGCATAATATAAGTATACTACTTAGGCTGGGGGTGCTGTTCAGAAATCCGTAATTTGTTGTTCTGTGTCGAGTAGCGTGTTCTGACGGTACGAAAAAAGGCTTTTGTGTTCTAAACCGAAACCGTTCTTTATCGTCCGAAACGCGGCGAATAGCCGCAGGCCACAAAAAGTTTCCGACGCCGATCTCTAACCAAAGAGCGCGCTCTCCCCCTTCTCCTTATGTAACGGCGTCGCTGCTCCCAAAACCCGGAAGTGATTCTGAGAAAATATTCTCCTTCGTAACGGCCGCACACACGACCGTCCCGAGCAACGATGACACGTTTCCGGACGGGAAAAAAAGGTTCCTCGCTCTCGGCCACAGCCATGAAGGGATTAGCGGACTTGCTTTCGGGAGGCTGTAGGAGAAAATCATGCGGAGGCCGGACTCGCGAGCCGACTATTCGGCGCTTTGCGGATTGACAACAAGCGCCCGACCGATGCTCCGTTTCGCGCCGTTTCGCCTTTTGAGCTCCGCTATACCACTTCCTGAACCGAGGAGGATTGGGAAAGGGACGCCGCCTCCTCTCTCTCGCGGCGCCTCCCCAGTGTTGTTTCCCCTCACCGGTCCTTTCCACCGTTTCTCTCCTTCTCCGCTTTCTTTTTCTAACTGTCGCAATGTAGCGGTGTCGTCTGCGTTGGGCCGTCTGCTCCTTTTACCCGAAAAATGCTCTAGAATCGCCATCTTTGCGGGGAGGGCTGCCGTCCTCGGTGCATGGCGGGTGAGTGACTTCACATTTCGGAAGGTTACGACGCACCGAAGCGTTTCCCGAGCGCCGACGGACGCCCCGAAGGGCGCCGCAAGGAAGCCGGAGTGCACCCCCGGGCCGTTCGCGCTGCGGCGCGTCGCCGTCCATTACGCCCAGAGAGTTGCGCAAACAAGAAAGATCAGTCCGATCGCGGTGTCACCACCTTTCCGTCGCGCTCGCTCGCACGTTTTCCCTAGTAGCGCGGCTGTGTTTACGTCGCCGAAGCCAGGGCAACGGCACGCACCGCAGTGCACTCCGGGTCACGTGACCGCCCGCAGTTCACCGCTGTCGGCGAATCGGGATCCGCTCCTCGTAACCACGCGCATGCAGCAGCGAATACGCGGTGTGTTCTGGCTGACGTCATTAGCAGCATATCACAGGCGCGCCGCCTGTCGCTAAGTGTCGTCGTAAACAAACTTATTTTATTATTATTATTATTTTTTTTTTATTAGCGTAAAGGTGCAATATTGGAGGCAGGGCGGATTGATTGTTTCGGTTCGGTTTCAGTGCACTCCGTGTTTCGGTTCGTTTTCAAGCCCTTGAGACTTTGAAGGAGGAGTTTTGCTGTTCATCCTGGGATGAGTTTTGTTTCTATCGTGTACTTACATGTCTGCTGTCACCTGTCCACAGCTCATTAAGGGCCCGATATTTCAATGATTTGGCCATGTTTTCAGTGATATAATTGTACCTTCTGCGTTCTTCTTTCTAACAAAACCGGTGTCTTTTTTGTAGTCTTTTTCTTGTTGAGCTCGAAATCCGACTGTGCCTGTTTCTCCTCTGGACGTTTCTCTCTAGTTCGCGCGGCTACGTGTGGGTTTTATAACGGAAACTCAAAAGAAGCGGAAGTTGAGGGGAAAAAAATTCTTCCGTGACTCTCTTGTACTTTATTTATTTATTTTTTTTTTTCTTCGCATGCGTCCGCTGCTTTCGATTATGTCTGCGCGGTGTTCTAAAAAAAAAAAAAAAAAAAAAAAAGAGAAAAGAAAGAAGGCATGAACACTAAGGTAAAAAAGGAGTGAGTCAATTTGAGGAAGCGGAATTACGAAATGTTGCGTTCTGCTCGCTCGGGTAAAATGGTGCAGCCTTCGAAGTATTTTTTTTTTTTTTCCTTTGGAAATATGAGGGCCTGTAATTCTATTTGTGTATATCGTGTTTTTTAGTCGTCTTGGCTTTTCCATGAGTGATATCTGAGCGTGTCTCCATCGTTTCGTTTCCTTTGATGTTCTAGTTTTCGGACTACTTCAGCTTTTTGTGTGTGCGCTTGTTCGGACCAAGGGCTTGCCGGGCTCGCATGGCGTTTCATTCTTTCTTATAGGCGATGTCGAAAACTGTGTTATAAATCTTTTGCAGGGGCTTAATCTAATTTGGCCGTTGTCGTAGGACTGCCCTCCTTGCACATTAAACGCACAGAGCGCGGCATAACAAGCTTTCGCTGTGTGTGTGAGTGTTTTTTTGACAAATGAAAGCATTGTAATTGGAAACCATATCACACAATGCCGCACGGGTCATTTTGACGTTTGGTCTTAACTATCTACTATACTTTTTCAGAAAGCAGATAAATAACGTTGTTTTCTTCCGCCTGCTCTCAACCATTTGTTCAAAAAGCGATACTTGAATTAAGTAAGTGTGGTGCACAATAGCAGGTTTTATACCCACAATCCGTGCATGCAACATAACCCATCACGAAAAAAAAAAAAATTATACGGGGCTTACTATAAACAAGGGACAAGCACAACACCGTTTCACTCTATAAACACAGCTCTGTGTTTAGAGACGGTGTTGTGTTCGGCCCGCCCTCTTAAACGTCCCCTCGTCTCGATTTTTTTTTTTTTTTTTTACTATAATTGTTTGTTTGCGGAATTACCCGTATTCCGGTATGACGGATTGTTTTGAACCACTCAAATCGTGAAGTTTGCCTTATTTTTACGATTGTTGTTCATATGGGTCTCTCAAGGGTTATTACGGAGAAGGGGTCTACAGGTGCATACGGTTTTCTTTAGTAAGGAAGTCTCAACTGAAATACTAACGTTGTGACGGTGTTCCTCAGTATTCTGTTTCGCCAAAATGTGAAAGCTTTTGCCCATGTCGTCTTCGAACTGACCTAACTGCAGCAGCTGCTTGAACACTTTCTAACTTCAGGGAGCACTTTATTGGCCCATTCGCAGATTTCGTTCGAACGCGGTGACAAAACAAAAATGTGTACCTCGTGGCGTCCAGTCTTCGCTCAGTAATTGCACGGCGACGTTCGCACACGAGTTACCATCTATAGGAAGCGAGCAAGCCGGCCGTGTCGCGGCGGTCGTCTATTGTTCGCCGCGACCTAGCGGTAGCCGCCGCAGGAGGATCGGGAAGCAATGGCGACGAACAGCACGGCGGGAAGTGTCCCCGTCGTGATTACGAAGAAATTTAAGGCAGTTACGAATTCGGAAAGTTCCTTCGGTAGCCAGTGCCGTCGGCGCAGAATCATCGGGAAGTAATAAGCAACGAACACCACAGAGCTAGGA